ACTGGTTACTCATAACCACCATCTATTCTATCAAGAACCAAATTGGTTTTGAAAATTCTATCTTAATTACACTCAGATGCTTTATCAATTTACATTTAGTGGTGAATCCAAAACTTGTCTTGTGGGGAAGAAAAGGTCTCACTGTCTCCTATCCTAAACTACTTGTCTTACCTTCAAATTTATCTTTTAAACTGATTGTTTAGATTTTGTATATTAACAAAATTCAAAATTAAGAAAACCTATATTAGTTGAGAAACTGGAAAGTAAATCATATTTTAACTTCTGTTTTTTAAAAACAGAATTTTTGAATTGTTTCAATTCTATAAATGTACTTATTCATTAAACCGAGTGTTATTTAATTTTATTTTTATTTTAGTATTATTTGTTTGCATAATGGACAAATGGTGGGTGAGGAACTAAGAATTTGTTCCAAAAATAGAAATATCACCACACACATGGAATTAAACCATATAAAAGTACCAAGAATGTACACGTTAGCATGATCGGGCCTATCAGAGGTATACTTAGCCTCATTATTTTCACTAGAGGTAAGCCCCATTGTGTATCATTTATTTATTTATTTACTTTTTTTTGTGGTTTAATTCAGTGTACATAGACTTATTCCATCCATCATTACGCACATGTATACATATGTACCTCTCTGTCTACAGGCATGCTTATTTACCTGGAAGTTATGATACACATTGACATTCTCATGGGCTCATTAGTCAATGTCTGCCACAGAACCTGTAGAAAATTGCTCCACCTCCTTTATAAGACTTGACTTGTGATGACTTTCGCTCTCCCACCCCCAAGTTTACTCTGGTAACTCTTTATAAAGCTAGCAACCAAAGAGCGAGAAAGCAATTCATCAGAGATCATGGTTGGATTAATCATATTTTTGTTCTGCTCATTTGTTTTCACTGTGTGTTTAGCTCAAAATGTTGCCCAAACTTCTATTGAGGCGACTGGATCTTCTTCCTTACCCCCATCATTTGGTCCCATGTTCTACCTCAATTCAAGTTTTCCCTCAATTTGGTACAACAATGATTCTGATGGTAAGAGTCTCGTCAGTGAAGACAGCTCAACAACCGTGAGAGAAATCTTCTCAAGAAGGGGAGGTGTAGAGTATGTTTGTGGATTCTACTGCTTCGGCAGTTGCACCTATTACTTGTTCTCAGTTGCCATTGTTGGTGGAGGCAATCACAGTGTAGTTTGGTCAACAAATGTAGGCCATCCTGTGAAAGAAGGCGCGACGCTACAGCTTACAGTAGATGGAGAATTAGAACTGCAAAATTCGGATGGAGACCACGTGTGGTCAACCAACACATTAGGCAAGTCTGTGGTGGGAATGAACACAACAGAATGGGAAAATTTGGTTCTATCCAACAACAAAGGAGCAATTGTTTGGCAGTCTTTTGATTACCCTACAAACACATTGCTTGTTGGGCAGCAGTTATACGAGGATCAAAAACTCATTTCAAGTACCTCAAACTTATGGGCTCGTGGTTTGTGCTTTGCCGCATTGAAATTGGCTACCAGTTTTGTTACATACATAGGAGGTATGCAGAGCTTCAACAAGGAAGTTTCCTTGTGAATTTTGGTACGTCTCAATCAATGTTTAAAATAATTCCCATCAATTTTCCCTCCACTGTTAACACTGAAACACATTGCTTGTTGGGCAGTAGTTATACGAGGATCAAAAACTCATTTCAAGTACCTCAAACTTATGGGCTCGTGCTTTGTACTTTGCCACATTGAAATTGGCTACCGATTTTGTTACATACGTAGGAGGTAACCGTCAACCACAAATGTATTATCAGCTGGTGCCAGATCAAACCCCAACCACTAGCAGAGGATCATACTATGCAGAACTTCAACAAGGAAGTTTTCTTGTGAATTTTGGTACATCTCAATCAATGTTTAAAATAATTCCCATCAATTTTCCCTCCACTGTTAACACTGCATATATAAAATTAGGTAGTGATGGGCATTTGAAGATATTCCATCACAGTAATGCCAATGGGTTGAGGGAGATTGTTGATATGATTACCCATGATTTAGGTGAATGTCAACATCCTCACCCGTGGTGAATATGGCTTATGCAGAAAAAGCCAGTGTAGTTGCCCCATAGGCATTGATTGGGTTCAATATTTTGGGCAGACACAGAACCAAAATGGAAAACATCAGCAACAGACTCAGATTCAAATACCCTATGTGGGTCGCTCTAGGATTACTTCTTTGTCTTGCCCACCTCCCTTTGACCAGAAGCACTATCTTGTTGAAGTTAGAAATGTAAGCTGCTTCATCCTCGTCAACGAAGATGTTGCATTTCCAAATATCAGTGACATAGACAGATGCGAAGAAATTTGTCTGCTAAATTGTTCCTATGGTGTAGTCTTTTTCAGGTACAACAATAATGTTTCAGATGGGTATTGTTATACCCCATCCACGGTATTGACAATTAGAGAAGGGCTAATCCCAAACCACAGTTTCGCATTTGCAAAATTTGTTAAGGTCCAAATTCCCTATAAGGCAGCAAACGGACAAGCAAAAGGCACTGTGCCTGACACTTCTCCACCTACTTCACGAAGAAATTTAAAAGCAATAATAGCAAGGTCGTGTGCTGGTGCCAGTAGACACCTAATTTTTGACCACTCTTAAGACTTGGGCGCCATCGATTGATTATCCAATGATGATGTTTCGCACTTGTCAAATGCTCGATTTCCTCAGTAGAAATCCTCGGTTTTGATCCTCAAAAACCTACAAACCTTGCCCCACTTTTGGGACCAAAACAACATTTTTCCAAGCCTGACCACCCAGAAGCCTATAGGCCACTTAGTAGCCGGCTGACCACAAATAAGTGTACGACCGTCCCCTTAGTGGCCGGCTGGCCACTTGTTCAGGCAAAACGGATATTTTCTGCCAGTTGTGCCTACTATCTTCACAGGTGCATGCACTGCACCAGCTGTTTCTATACTAATATTTTCGAGGGAGTAACATAATTTTCTATATACACTTGACCCCCTCTCATAAAATGGGGTTAGAAAAATTTTGGTGGAGCAAAATTCTTGAAAAAAATATCTCTCTCTTCCTTGCAACCTATACACACCTCACCTAGACTTCCTAAATCAAACTTTAAGAGTTCTGTGTTGAGGTTATTGAGATTGCATATTAGCTCTTGAGGGTGAGAAATTGGTGGTTTATAACTCTAAGGGATTACTTCTCTTCAAGAGGTATACTCCTAGCTTCTTTCCCTTACTTACTTCTCATCTTCATTTGCTGTCTTTGGGCTATTTTTCAACTGTGTTTATGGGCTGAGGCGTGTGGTTAAAAGCTATTAAAGGTAGAGGGGTGAATCACCCTTCTTTGAACCTTATTTCCTAAGCTTTTACCCTTATGTTTCCCAACTTTTTTTTAACTTTTTCCCATTGATTTTCAGAGGCTAAAAATGCTATTTTAAAGTCCCAAAAATGGAGGGGTTAGCCACCCCTCTTTTGGCTTGTTTGCTAGCTTAATTGCTCCATTATTTTAGCTTGCTTTTTAAACTGTTTTTACCTTAATTCCAGAACTATTTTTAGCTATTTTAGGACAATTTTATGTTGTTCATTTCATTTATGCTTTGTATAGTATAGTTGTGGTGTAATAGTCTTCATAGGTTTGGTGTTTTAGGCATTAGACACCAACCTATTTGAGTTGATAGCCTTTATTTCAAGTTTTCCATACTTGTGTTCACCTCTAATCACCTCTGCAAACTCCCTCATTTCTTGATTTGTTTTTTCCTTGAGAATCGTTTCAACCGATTGTTGTTTAAGCTTGAGATAGAGATCCTTGTGCTTAATGGTTTAATCTCTTCGGAGGTTCATTACCAAAGGTATGACATCTCTCTCATGCCCAAAATAACCCTTTGTTTGACATTTCTCTCCATTAGTAGACTTAATGCTCATTTTTGAACTAAAATGACTAATGAATGGAGAGGTAATTAAAAGAGGTAATAAAATTAGACTAAGAGGTAACAAAATAATAAAATGGTTTGGGGTTCAATCGGATGTTAATTGAACCCATTGAGTTTTGAGCCATTTCATACTCTCTTGTGATGATAATGGTTCAAAATATCAAGTCGACCACTTTCTTTGATCAATATCATGACATGGAGAGGTCTTTGTTGGTCTTTTAGCTTCATTTATTAAGCTTTTATCCCTTGATTCATAGACCATCATGCAATGAGTTTGAGTTGATTGATGGCTTGTGAATCAAGCCCACCCCTCATTTGATCTGTTTGATGATAGGAAGAGATAGGGTGGACAAACATTCCTTGAAAATACTCTGTTTGTGCTCTGTTTCATATCTGTTATAGTAGAACAGTGCCAAACATTAGTGGCTGGTCGCCCACCTTACTATATGGCCGACCACTTCTTCTGGCTGGTCGGCCATCTTTTTCAGCCAGGTAGTTTCCTTTTTTTTTTTTTTGTAGAACAGAGCAGAGGCTGAGGTGAAAAACAGTGCAAATTTTTTATTGCAAAACAGCATCATTCTGGCAGCCAAACAGGGGCATTTTTAGGTGGCAAATCTGCATTTCATGTATAAGCACTTCCTCCTTGTGGCTCGTTAATTAGTATCTTGTAATTAATTAAGTGTAATTCCTTCGAACTTGTAATAGCTTAGTTAATTAATTTTGTGTTGTAATTAATTAATTGGTTCTAACTTGTAAATAATTAGATAGAATAGCTGATTAATTTATTTTGGGTATTGTAATAGTTACTTAATTCGTAGTAATTAGCTAGGACATTTATTCAAACCGTCTTGTGTGAGGGCAAATATGTAATAGTTTTTGTATGTCTTCCAACCCCCATTCTTTCTCCTTTTTATTTACTTGCTTATGATGGATAGTGTATTACATCATATTTCGTTTAGCATTTTTCATGCTTTGCATCCATGTGTCTTGTATACATAAAAGTTCGGCTCATTATTCTAACTCACATTGTTATTTATTACTTCTTTGAAAACGTGCTTGAACCGCATGCTATCAAATTGATTCACATGCCATGTTAATAGCTGAGTCTATTTAAAGTCGTATTGCATGTGTTGCATTAGTCATATTGCATTAGTTAGAGGCATGCATGCTTTTCTAATTCTTTTGCTTTGTTTGGCTTGCCTCGGAGTACTAGGTGAGTACTTATTGCTTTAGCATATGGCATGCATGTGATTGTTGACATGTCAAGCATGATTGCCATGAGGCTAAGTGTTTAATTGATATACCTATTTGGATGCCTGTGGATAAAGGCTAATTGCTTGAATTGGGATACTTGATGAATGTACATATGAGATCACTTTTTCAAGTGGTACGTATTCAAAACACTTTTCAAACAAACATAAAATCAAAATGTTCCAACTTTTGCAAATTAGTCTATACTTGTGTGCATCACATAGTAAATTAGCCTAATAATCGAAATAAGAGCATATAATGTACATAAGATTCACATCATGATTAGTAGAGCCCGATCTTTGATTAGGCGAGTGGGGTGCTCAATTCATGACATTCCCCTCTCGTACATAAGTTCTCGAGCCGAGACACTTTGGTGATAATGGATAAGTGCCTTTGGCACAAGTCTCGGATTTCCTAAATTTCTCAAAAATATTTAGGTGGCGACTCTATAATCTGGCAAAGCAGTCCATTTTTGGCATTCTGATTCTAAATCGACTTTCCAAAAGAATTGCCGGATTTGGACTCATTTGTGTTTATCTATTTCACATTGCACTTGTGGAATCAGATTCAGAACCACGGGAGTCCGAACTATAGGGCTAGTCATATACGAAAAGAGCACGAAAAGCAATCTACGGTGCCTTTTTAATTTTTGTTGTTACAATTGTTACATGCTTTGTGATGTTGTGCCCGAGCTGCTCAAAGAACGAGGAGGACTGTATGAAGCAAGTTCTAGGAAGTCTAGTGAGGTTTTCATATGAACAACTATGTGTTACAACAGAAGATTTTAAGGAAAGATTGGGAGGTGGAGCATTTGGAACTGTGTTCAAAGAGATGTTGGAAGAAGGCACTCAGATTGCAGCGAAGCGTTTGGATAAATTGGGCCAAGAGATAAAGGAATTCTTTGCTGAAGTTGAGACATTTGGACATATACACCATGTTAATCTTGTGAGGTTGATTGGGTTTTGTACAAAAAAATCTTGTAGGCTTCTAGTATACGAGTATATGACTAATGGCTCTTTGGATAACTGGATTTTCTGGAATAACCAGAGACCTTGCCTCAATTGGCAAAGGTCAGAAGAAGATTATACTTCACATATCCAATGGGCTGGCTTACCTGGATTAAGAATGCCGACAGAGAATAATTCACCTCCATATAAAGCCACAAAACATTCTCTTGGATGAACATTTAGTGCCAAAATCTCTAATTTTGGGTTATCCAAGTTGATAAACAGAGACGAAAGCCATGTTCTGACCACAATGAGAAAAACTCTTGGATGTATTGCTCCAGAGTGGCGACAAGCAAGAGTCACCATCAAAGCTGATATTTATAGCTTTGGAATTGTTCTTCTTGAGATAGTTAGTGGCCGCCGAAACTTCGACAGCACACAATCAAAATCTAGAAAACATCTGCTTCAAGTGTTGCGGGAGAGGGCTGAGTATGAACTACTTGACATGGTGGAAAACATGGATGAAGGAGTCAAACAATATCATGCTGAGGAGGTGGTCAGGATGATAAAGATTGGAGCTTGGTGTTTGTAGATTGATCAATCAAGAAGGCCTTCCATGTCTATTGTGGTTAAGGATTTGGAGGGATTGATAGAGGTGGAAACAAACATCAACTACAACTTTACATATGCAACAGCATTTTCTTCGACAGTCAACAACCATGCTTCCACAACACCACTAGCTTCAGTTCTTTCTAATCCTCAATGAAAGCAAAAGTTAAGGTAACAAAATAACTTATGTAATTCAGTTCTGAATTTTCATTTTTTGGACAAGTTGGACTAGATTACATGGGACTATTAGTCCATGATTAAATGTTCTTTGATTATCAATCATTTAGGATTATATGTTCTATTCTATGTCTAGAATGCCCTTGGATTAAGAAGCGATTAATAGAATCATGCCATAACCCATGTTTATTTGAAATCACTAGACATGGATTACATGGTGTAATGACTATAGTTTGAGGATATTTGATATTTTAACTGCTAAATCTAGACCCTCATCAATCCCCTATTTTCATATCCCATCGTCCTTGAGGGACTCAATAATCCCTCCAATGGAGGATATACAGTTTGGGAGGACTGTTAATCCAAAAGTCCACTTTTATATCTAAACGTGAAAATTCAATATTGACTAGGATATATAATCTAGTCACATACTCTTATTCCTCAGAACAAACACAACAAAGATTAAGTTCTACAGCTATAACCTGCTTGGACCGTTGCAAGTCTTATGAACCTATTTTAGAGTATAAAACAGGATAGCCATTACAAGTCATAGCCTTCTTAAATTACATTAATATGAGAAAAGTTACAAATGTAGGATGAGTATGGACAACGCTAGATTTTGAAAACATAGGTTATTTGACTCGTGCTTTCTCAGCTTGCACTTGGGTGAGTTTAGCGGGGGTGCTACCTTGTCTACACTGGTTGTTCAACCTACTTTGATTAGTCGAGTCATAGAGGCACAACAGGGTGACCGTGAGGTGGAGTTAATTCGTGAGAGGATCTCCAACAGGAAAGAAGAGAGGGGTTTGAACATTCACCCGGATCTAAGTGTACGTTATTTAGATCGTTTGTTTGTACCAGAGTCTTGTAGAGAGGAGGTGCTTCGAGAATTCCATCACTCATGCCTTGCTGTACATCTGGGAGGCACCAAAATGTATCATGATCTTAGTCGTCAGTTTTGGTGGAGGGGTATGAAACGAGATGTTGCTTTATTTGTATCGAAGTGCCTTACTTGTCAACAAGTGAAGGTCGAACACCAGAATTCAGCGGGTTTGTTACAACCCCTATTGATAGTCGAGTAGAAATGGGAACACGTCACCATGGATTTCGTAGTTGGACCTCCTAGAACACAACGGGGTAATGATGCCATTTGGGTGATTGTCAATAGGTTGACTAAGTCAGCGTATTTCATTCCAATGCGCACTGGTGATTCAATTGAGCATTTGGCAGAGTTGTACATTAGAGAGATAGTTTGACTTCATGGGGTCCCTGTGGCCATAGTATCGGATAGAGATCCTCATTTTACGGCCTGGTTGTGGCAAAGCCTTCAAGAGGCGTTAGGAACTAAGTTGACCTTTAGCACTGCTTATCATCTTCAAACCGATGGGCAGTCAGAGCGTACCATCCAGATTTTAGAGGACATGCTTAGAGCTTGCGTCCTTGATTTCAAGGGATCTTGGAGAGGCACCTACCATTGATTGAGTTTGCCTATAACAATAGTTACCAAGCTAGCACTGAGATGGCACCATTTGAGGCCTTGTATGGTCGGCCTTGTAAATCGCCAGTTTGTTGGGCTGAGGTGGGTGATGCACCGTTATTGGGTCCGGAGATGGTTAGAGAGACAACCGAGAAAGTTGCCTTCATTCGAAAGAGGTTAGCTACGGCTCAAAGCCGACAAAAGAGTTATGCTGATAAAAGGAGACTATCCTTATCCTTCGAGGTTGGTGACCATGTGTTCCTTAAAATCTCACCTAGGCGAGGTTTAATGAGATTTGGTAAGAGTGATAAATTATCTCCAAGGTTCATTGGGCCTTTTGAGATTATGAAGCGAGTTGGGGAAGTGGCATATCGGTCAGCCTTATCGCCATAACTTTCGGGGGTTCACAATGTGTTTCATGTGTCTATGCTTAGAAAGTATGAACTTGACCCTTCACATGTGCTTGATTGGGTTGATTTGGAGGTAGATGAGGATGCCTCTTACGGAGAGCAACTGGTTCAAATTTTAGACACCCGAGAGCAAGTGCTGCGGGGCAAAACTATACCGTTGGTAAAAGTGTTGTGGAAACACCACGGGGTTGAGGAGGCAAATTGGGAATGAGAAACGGAGGTCCGATCCAAGTATTCAGATTTGTTTGTGAATGCTTAAGTAGTTTTAATTTGTAATATTCCTTAGTGTTGAAAGAAACACAGTAAGCATATTAATCATGTGCTATTATAAGTATTGTTGTTTTGAGTATGAGATTGATATGTGTGGCCATTGTTGTTAATCAAAATATTTCATGCTTATATGATATTATGAACCGTTGTTGTTAGCCTTGAGTCTAGATGCTTGGAAACTATGATGAGAATGACGAATTTTGATTGAAAATAGTTATTGTGAATTGAAAACAACATCTCGTATGGTTTTGACCACTTGGCGTTTTTATCTTGTTTGGGTAGTTTATTCTAATTTCAGGGACGGAATTTCCTATGGTGAGGAAGTTGTGATGACCGGTTTCATTGTACGTCACTTCACTTATTGTCCTCTTTGGGTTTGTTGTGTTCGAAAGCTTTTTCTCAAATTTCAATCCTTGTTTATTTCGGGTTGAGTGTCATTTGTTTCGGAGGGTGCACGATTGAGTCCGGAATGTCTGGAATCGAACCAGAAAAATTATAGGCTGGAGAACCAAGGCCGTACGTGCAAGGCCTTGGGTCATATGTGCAAGAGAGGGCCGCACGTGCGGGGGATGAGGCTGTACGTGCGGGGAAGTTTGGCTTTCTCAGCTTACACACTGCATAAAAGGCAGGTGTGAAGTGAGGTGCGGGAAGGGGCCACCGCACGTACTGGAATGAAGGCCGCACGTGCGGGAAAACGCTCCGTACGTGCGGGAGTGGACGAAGCAAGTGCGGGCCTCTGGGCAATCCGAAATCTCTATTTTTTTTTCTTTTCGGGGCTGTATGTGTATCACTTTTTGCTCATCTCTCTCTCTAAAAATCATTTCCTCTCCCTTCTCTCTACTTTTTCTACACCAAAACTCTTTAAACTCTTGATCTCTTGCAAATCTTTGGGATTTTGATCAACATTCTTCACAAATCTTAAAGGGGTAAGCTAGAGCTACATTTTGAGTGGTAGAGATCTAATTTCAACACCATTGGATTTTGGGCTTTCATCTTATTTCTTCTCCAACACTTGAGGTAGGGATTTCCTTGAGTTATATACACATTTTTGCAAGTTTGTGTTGATTTTGGGATTTCTTTGCTGATATTGAAAGATGGATTTTTGGCTCAAAGATGGTAGGAGTTTTAAAAGTGGGTTTAACCCATACTCTTTTCTAAAAACTATTTCTTGAGAGTGAAAATCACATTATAGGAGGAATGAGGTACTTGGGTGTTATTCTTTCAAAAAACAAAATGAGGGAATATCTCTTTTGATGGTAAAACCTAGAAATTTGGGATTTTTCTTAAAAGGGGGTTGAAAATTTATGGATTTTATCTTGTTTTGTTACCCATGATGTACTACCATAAATAAATGATTGAAAAATACTCTATTGTTTCATACATATGTAAATGATGCAATTCATGGGCTATGATATGTGTTGATATTGGAAATTATTGTCTATGTAAATGATGCAATTCATGGGCTATGATATGTGTTGATATTGGAAATTATTGTCTAAAACGTTGAGATAGTCTTGAAGTGACTAACTTGTTAGAAGTGTGATTATTATGGAAATGAATATATGGCTATTTGTGTGAAGGCATTGAAATGAGAAATAGTAAGTATGATTATGGATAATACATTGTGTGAGATGATTGAAAGTGGAAGAACATTTCATTTCATGATAAATTGTTACATTTTCATCTCAATTCATTGGTTGTTGTAAATTTTGTATTAAGATTCAGAAACTTTTGCATTGAGAAAAGAAATATTAGAAAATTGATTTCTATGAAATGTTTGGGGTAAGTCCGGATAGGAGGTGTAGATGAGATTGATTAAGTTGGCCTGAGTGCCCAAGGTGAAAGACCGAAAACACGCGCGGAGTAGGTATCACGTGCCTTCCGGTTAGCTACTGGTAGTGTAGAGATTTGGTAGTGCTAGTTATGTCTGCTTGCAGACACCAACCTAGAGATTACCTGAGTCGTATTTATCACCCTGTGAAATTGATGTAAAATTTATGACTTGTTGGAAAATTTCAATGTTGCATTGAGCATGAAGATTTTTTTTAAAAAAAGATAAGGATGTGATTTTCTTTTGGCATGGCGTAGCATATGCATTTCATTCATGAGAATTGTATAAAATGTATATACTTTGTTAAGAATTTTCTACTGGGCTTTATGCTCACCCTATGGGGTTTTTGGTGCAGGAAAGAATGTAGCGATTCCGCCAAATTAAGAATGTGGATGTGTATGTGGAGAGCAAGGCTCTTATTTTGTAATGACTATCTTTTGCAAGCTAAGGGCTATATCTGTTTTGGGTTTGAACAATCATTTTGTGTAACCGGGCTTAAGCCTTGGAACTTGTAGCCCTTGAGGGCGTTTTTTATTTATTTTTGTTAGAATGTTCTACATGCTATAGATTCAGGTGTTAGAACTCATTGAATGTATACTGCATGTGGAACTATCATGTTTGAATAGGGGTGATTGGATCTTCCGTATGTATAAATGTTGGGGCGTTACAAGATAGGTCTAGAAATTACTCTTAGAATCTTTAGGCATCAGATCGAGGATTTGATTGCATCATACAATCCATGAAGAAGCTTCACAAGCTTTTAAAATTCTCTAAAATATTAACTCTAATTATAGGGTTTATTACACTTTCTGTCCCGGAATTATAGTCAAATTGTCTATTTAGTCCGTGAACTATCGATTGAGTCCATTAAGTCCCTAAAGTATATGTGAATCAAAATCTGTCGATTAAATTTATTAAGTCCCTAAAATATTTAATTCAAATCTATTTAGTCCTTGAAAGAATTATAAAATTAAAATATATGTCCGTAAGTATTATAAATAAGTAAAAAAACCCTAACTAATTAAATTTTCTTAAACAAATTTAAATTTTTCTACAAAAAAATTTAAATTTTTTATTTTGTCTTTAAAAAATATTTTATTTAGTTGTGTTTAAATTAGTATTAGAGTGTAATTTCTCAATATTGCCTATAAAATTATATGAGTATTAGATATACTGAAAAAGTAGAATTAGATAGTTTAAATAATAACATTTTGTTACAAGTAATAATAGGAAAAATAATATATTAATTAAATTATATAAAATAACTTAGCAAAAAACTTAAAAATAATCAATTAGAAATTATTTCTGACATATAATACTAAATAAAGGTAAGCACACGTAGCCATTTTAGAATATAACTAGCAAAATATTATAGATAATTACCTTTGTTGTGATGACCAGAACGTAATTCGCCTCATCCCTCTTTAAGTTATGCCGGATGCGTTGTTGTTGAAAACTACTACAATATCTTTGACTTCCAATAATATTTATGAGCTAATGCCTACTTTTTAAAGATGGAATAAAAATTAAAGGTTTTTTGAAATAAAATTTTAACTAGATAGGTCTTTTACTAATTTATAACATTTATGAGCTTATATTTGATTTTTGTTACATTTTAAGGGACTAAATAGGTTTGATTTAAATAATTTAGAGACTTACTAGATTCAATTGATAGTTTAGGGACTAAACAAACTTTAATCTGTATACTTTAGGAACTTAATAGACTTAATTGATAGTTTATGGACTAAGTAGACAAATTAGTGATAGTTAAGGGGTATAGAGTGTAATAAACCCTAAATTATACGCATTACATGTCTTTATACAGAAGATTTTCTAAACCAACTAAAAAAAAACTACTACTACTACTACAATATCTTTGACTTCCAAAATCATATTAAGACCAAATAAGAAATACAAATAAAATCTAATTAAATAACTTGACCCACAATATAATTTATGAGCGAGCCCTACAACCCATGTCAGTAAGTATAAAAATTACCAAAATACCCTGATTTAAAAATTCAAGAAAATATAAAATAATAATAAAATAAGATTCTAATAATACTAGAAATATAATTATGAATGACTTCTATCAATTTTTTTTTTTTTTAAAAGCATGTCAATTTCTAAATATCGCATGCTTGAGACAAACTAAAAACATAAAAGGCGGGGAGGGGGACGAGAAAGTAATTAAAGCATGGGATAATGTTATATAGTTGTTGAGTCGACAAAGATCAGCAAGTCCAATCAAACCTCAAGTGCCTAGGAGAAGAGAAAAACTAATTAAAATGTCAAAGAGTAAGATAATTAAAATGTCAAAGAGTAAGATGAGAGATGATAAACAATTAAAAGAAGACACAAATGTAGACATCACACCTAATGAGGGGACACATAATACTCTAAATCAAATATAATTTTTTTTTTAGGGCAAATTACAAACACCCCCTTGAGGTTTGGTGAAAATACAGATTCCCCCCTGAGGTTTGAGAAATTACAAATTGCCCCCTGAGAGTCAAATTTGCATAACAAATTAGGGGGGAATCTGTATGAAAATAAAAACCTCAGTGGGCAATTTGTTATGGAAATATAAACCTCAGGGGGCGAGATGTAATTTCTCAAACCTCAGGGGGGAATCTGTATTTTCACCAAACCTCGAGGGGGTGTTTGTAATTTACCCTTTTTTTTATTATTTTTATATTTTAATATGTGGATCCATCACTAACCTCAATGTGTTGATCCCCTCTTATCAATTAAATTTAAATACTTGCAAATCACTTAGTCATAAGTGTATCATTCAAGTAATGACAATTAACAAAAATCAAAACTCAAAATGTCCCAATTTATTAAGTTACCATGCAAATTATATACATTTCTCTGCAAAATTACGCAAATGATAAAACTAAACTAGTGTTTTGAATCTAGTTGATTACTTTATTCATTTCAAATTGTTCATCCATTTTCACTACTCTAGACATCTAAAAAAATCCTTAATATTTTTTAATTTATTAATTTTTCATAATTTTGAAGACTTTATGTATAAGAATGAAATCTTTTAATTTATGATTTTTTTTACAAAAGTTAATGAAAAATTATTTATAGACCTAAAAAATAGTCTGGATTTTTTGGCACCGGCTTAATCAAAGTTATTTTCATAAATATTTTTTTCTCAAAATATAAGGACTCTAAATTACTCCAAATACTAGTAGAATAGAACTTCAGTTTTATTACACAGGTTCATTAAGCCAAGCCAACCCAAATGTATGGGTTTGTCAAAGTCATGTTTTAGGCCTCTCACTCCAACCCCTCTTCGCTTTCTCTCCACAAACACCTCCAAAACTCCAAACGAATTCACCAACCTCTGCTCCAAAGGCCGCCTCAAAGAAGCATTCGAATCATTCACATCAGAGATTTGGTCCGACCCATCTCTCTTCTCTCACCTCCTCCAACGATGCATTCATACCCAATCTCTCTCACTCCTCAAACACCTCCATTCTCTGATCATCACATCTGGGTCTTCCTCAGAAAAGTTCGTCTCCAACCACCTACTCAACGCCTATGCCAAAATCGGAGAACTTTCAACCGCCGTTACACTGTTCGACGTAATGCCCAGGAAGAACATCATGTCTTGCAACATTTTGATTGGTGGGTTCATTCAGAATGGTGATTTAGAGAGTGCACGTCAGGTGTTTGATGAAATGCCGGAACGAAATGTTGCGACGTGGAATGCGATGGTTGCGGGTATGACCCAGTTTGAGTTTAACGAGGAGGGGTTGAGTTTGTTTTCCCAAATGCATGGTTTGGGCTTTATGTTGGATGAGTTCACTCTGGGTAGTGTTCTTCGAGGTTGTGCGGGTTTGAAAGATTTGAATGCGGGCAGGCAGGTTCATGGGTATGTGGTGAAATCTGGGTTTGAGTTCAATTTAGTTGTTGGGAGTTCTTTGGCTCACATGTACATGAAGTCTGGAAGTTTGGGAGAAGGAGAGAGAGTGATCAAAGCAATGCCAATTCGCAATGTGGTTGCTTGCAACACGCTTATTGCGGGTAGAGCTCAAAACTGGTTTTCTGAGGGTGCTTTGGATCAGTATAATATGATGAAAATGGCAGGTTTTAGGCCTGACAAGATTACGTTTGTGAGTGTAATCAGTTCATGTTCGGAGTTAGCAACACTTGGACAAGGCCAACAGATTCATGCAGAGGCAATAAAAACTGGTGCAAGTACTGTTGTTGGTGTTATTAGTTCACTGATTAGTATGTACTCTAGATGTGGGTGTTTGGATGAATCTGTAAAAGCTTTCTTGGAAAGGGAAGAAGCCGATGTGGTCTTGTGGACTTCAATGATTGCTGCATATGGGTTCCATGGGAAGGGAGAGGAAGCCATCGAGCTGTTTAATCGGATGGATCAAGTAGGGTTGGATGCAAATGACGTTACTTTTTTAAGCTTGCTTTATGCTTGTAGTCATTGTGGATTGAAAGATAAAGGACTTCAATTCTTTAATTTGATGATAGAAAAGTATGGATTGGAGCCTCGGCTAGAACATTATACATGTGTGGTTGATCTGCTTGGGCGGTCTGGCCGTTTGGAGGAGGCAGAAGGTTTTATAAGAACTATGCCTGTAAAGAAAGATGCTATTATATGGAAGACTTTATTATCTGCCTGTAAAATTCATAAAAACGCAGATATTGCTAAAAGGATTGCTGAAGAAGTTCTTAGGCTTGATCCTCAGGATTCAGCTCCTTATGTGAATCTGTGTCTCCTCATCCTCACTAATCGAAAGGTTAGCAAGTAGACTACTAAGCTCACTCCGTCCTCGTGGAACATACCCCGATGGCAACACATCACCAACCCGGTCCCCCAGAAAATGAAAATACTCTCCGCTCACAGTACAACAAGTGACCCTCTGAATCAAGGACTAAATTGGTTTTGAAAATTTTATCTCAAATACACTTGGATGCTTCACCAATTTACATTTAGTGGTGAATCCAAAACTTGTCTTGTGGGGAAGAAAAGGTCTCACCATCTCCTATCCTAAACTACTTGTCTTACCTTTAAATTTATATTTTAAACTGATTGTTTAGATTTTGTATATTAACAAAATTCAAAATTAAGAAACCTATGTTAGTTGAAAAATTGGGAAGTAAATCATATTTTAACTTCTCTTATTTAAAAGCAGAATTTTTTGAATTGTTTCAATTCTAAAGACTTACATATTCATTAAACCGAGTGTTATTTAATTTTATTTTTATTTTAGTATTATTTTTTTACATAATGGACAAATGGTGGGTGAGAAACTAAGAATTTGTTCCAAAATGGAATTAAACCATAAAAGTATAAAGAATGTACACGTTAGCATGATCAAGCCTATCAGATTAGCCTCATTATTTTCACCAGAGGTAAGCCCCATCGTGTATTATTTATTTATTTATTTATTGTGGTTTAATTCGGTGTACATAGAGACTTATTCCATCTATCATTATTGAGAGGGGTGATTTATGATCTGGAATTGGGCCGAGGCAACGACCGAGCAGAAAGAGAGCCCAACCGTGCATGGGGCCGAGATGATCGACTATCCGCCCGGAGATGGACTGCCAGAACTTGGCCCGGGTAGGAATTGGGCCAAGTGTGAGCCGCCCCGGACCGAAAAGAAGCTCGGCAAGGCAGTGCTCGGTTGGACCGAGCTGCTTGATCAAGGGATGGCTGAAGCCAGACAAGCTGAGTGACCGGCGCCCGGAAAGGCGTGGTCAACCGAGGAAACCGTTTGCTCGGCAGGAAGGCCGACCACAGGAGGTGCCCGGGCTTGGCTCTGCCGAGATGCCGCCTAGCCCGGTCCTCCTTGGGTTTATCCAGTGAGGTGCTTGGGTATGAAGCATAGCACGGCCGTGGATAGTGCAGCTCGGCTGCCGAGCTCCTGCTGAGTAGGCAGGCAGTTGAGATTAGGTGATGATTGGCAAGGTTTATGCTAAGATGGGATAGCGGAGCCACGTGTCAGGAGATGACTGGGAGTGGATATGGGGCGCAGAGGGTATATAAGCATGTCTGCGCCCCCCATACGCGACAGATGAACACTTTGTAAGGAATTTCTTACACCCAAACACCTCACCCTCTCTCTCTCTCTATCCTAAGGTGTGTTCTAACTTGATCGTCGGAGGGTTTCTCCGGCAACACACCGCCGGGTAGCTCACCATTCTTTGCGCGCAGGTGATCGGACATAAACGGAGCTCGGAAGAAAGGAGTACGGGCTTGCCGAAATATTTGCTCCCCGTACAATTATGCACATGTATACATATGTACCTCTCTGTCTACAGGCATGCTCATTTACCTGGAGGTTATGATATACATTGACATTCACATGGGCTCATTGGTCAATCTCTACCCACAGAACCTGTAGAAAATTGCTCCACCTCCTTTATAAGACTTGACTTGTGATGACTTGTGCTTTCCCACCCCCAGGTTTACTCTGGTAACTCTTTATAAAGCTAGCAACCAAAGAGCGAGAAAGTAATTCATCAGAGATCATGGCTGGATTAATCATATTTTTGTTCTGCTCATTTGTTTTCAGTGTGTGTTTACCTCAAAATGTTGCCCAAACTTCTGTTGAGGCGGCTGGATCTTCTTCCTTACCCCATCATTTGATGGCGAACAACGACGAGTTTCCGTTGTCTGCCATAGACGGAGCTACCCCGGAGTTCACCCTAAGGAGAGAAGGTCCTCCCGCCATCCATCCAATGGCGGATTTGGGGACGCCCACTGGAGGACAGTCAGTAGACGCGCAGGATAAGCGCGGAAGAAGTCATGGTCATTCGCGGAGTCCAGACGGTCACCGGCGTAGGAGAGACTCACACGCCAGGCGACTGGAAAGTAAGTTGAGAGACCAAGATGCTGTCATCCGGCGAATGGCGGCGGAGATGGAGGATCTGAAGCGGCATGTCGAAGGGAAGGGTGTAGTTGGAGTGGGAGACCACAGTGAGCGCACCCCATCCCGTCGTTCGGGTGGCCAGAGTCAACGACGTACTCAGTCCATATCTATTACCAGAAGTTACCAGGTTGGTGATTCCGACGCGCATGCAGAAAAGTCTAGCGCGCAAGACTGCACCTACAAACCCTCACGTCCGGCGACGACGTCGAGGTACTCTTACTCTGCTCAGTCAGAGGATTTACGGGCGGTCTTAAGGGAGCGGGCTCGTCGGCGCGAAGCCCAGAGAATACCTGCTTTCCAGCGGCTATCATACGGGGTTCACGCCAGCGAGGAGGTCGGAATGCCTCCGCCCCGCCAAGCAGTGCCACTCTTTGAAGATACGGACTTGGCAAGGCTGAGTGCCACCCCTTTGGCCCTGGAAATAGAAATAACACCACTTCCGACAGGCTTCCACCAGCCTAAGTTCACACTTTACGACAGAAAAACTGATCCATATATGCATGTGAGCCACTTCCGACAGGTTATGGCCGGACATAGGCGCAATGACAGACTTATGTGCCTAATCTTCCCGTCAAGTTTAGGCGAGCTGGGCTTAAAGTGGTTCGAGAGGTTGCCGGAAGGAAGCATACAAAGGTGGCATCAGCTGGCCGAGACGTTTGTTACACGCTTCAAAACCAACACAAAGACACCAAAGGAAGTCGATCATTTGCTAAGTGTCAAGATGGAATCGAGCGACTCACTGAAGGTATACAACTCAAGGTACTGGGAAACCTTCAACGAGATCTTGGACTGCCCGGTCAATTTTGCAATCACGCAATACAAGCGTGGTCTCCCAGTCGGACATAGACTGCGAGACTCGCTTACCATGCACCAGCCGACCTCCATGGGCCAGCTTATGCAGCGCATCAATGAGCACATCCGAGTAGAGGATGACGCGTCAGCTTCTACCGTGAAGGCCACTCCGGTAGCAATAGACAAGAAGACAGCAGGCAAAGTGCACGCAGTTGGGCAAGAGTCCAGCCGCTCAAGTGACCGAGCAGAGGAATCGGACCGAGGTCCAAATCGTAAAAACCGGGGAAGGGGACGTCGGAATGACCGGGATGACTATCCCCGAGATGACGTAGCGGGCGCAAACAGAAGGATGAAGGCAAGGACTGGCATAACCACGGTCTTCAAGATTCCAATCTATCGCATACTTAGTGAAATCCGAGACGAGGAGTATGTCCGGTTTCCTACTAAGTTGGGCGATGGACAAAAGGGCTACAATCCGCGGTATCGTTGCACATTCCACTGAGAGAGAGGCCACCGGACTAAGGATTGTTTGCCTTTGAGGCAGCACTTAGAAGAGCTGGTTGCGGCCGGGCATCTAGACCTTTACATTGATGGCGGCGTGAAGCCGAATCAGGCTCCGGTCGATCCCAGGGGACAGGATGACCAAGACGCACCACCACAGGGAGTTATTAATGTCATCCACGGCGTCGTGGAACCAGACCGTGTTTGCGAACTCCGGGGCATGATAAAAAAGGCAGAGCATATGAGGGAAGTTTTATCGGTACAGCCTGCCATCAAAAGGGGGAAGACTGAAGAAAATGATGTGATTAGTTTCACCTCAAGGGACCTAGAGCGTATCCAGACGCCGCACAACGATGCCCTAGTAGTAACACTACGCGTCAAAGAATTTGATGTTAGACGGATCTTGATCGATCAGGGAAGCTCGGTCGAGATCATGTATTATGATGCGTTCAAGCAGCTCAAACTCCGTGAGACAGACTTGGCTCCGGCTACTTCGCCACTGGTAGGATTCAATTCGCAACCGGAGTGGCCCTTGGGAAAGATTATCCTGCCAGTCAAAGCGGGATTCGTGGTCAAGCAAGTGGAGTTTTGGGTGCTACAAGTGCCTTCGACGTACAACCTTATCCTTGGAAGCGGATGGCTTCACGCTATGCAAGCCGTAGCGTCGACCTACCACCAGGTGATGAGATTCCCCTCGGCAATGGGGGTAATCGAGGAGATTTGGGGTGATCAGGTCATGTCCAAGCAATGCTTCGTAGCGGTCAACGGGAGCCGGGTTGCCAAAGGATTCGTTCAAATGATTGAGGGACCGGAGGACCAGGGTGTTCTGGATGATGTGGGTACCAAGGCTGAAGACAAGGCTGTTGAGGAATTGGTTGAGGTTCGAATTGATACAGACCGGCCAGACAAGTTCTTCTTGCTCGGCTCAAGTCTCACGGCCATAGAGAGGACCGAGATGGTTGAGTTCTTGATGGCCAACATCGAAGTCTTTGCGTGGTCGCCTTACGACATGCCTGGCCTCGATCCAAGTTTTATCTGCCATCACCTCAATGTCTTCCCTGGGACAAAGCCAGTCATCCAGCGAACAAGGAGATCGGCACTGCATCACGCCGAGGTAGTTGCAGAGGAGGTGAAGAACCTGCTTGAGGCACGAGCAATTCAGGAAGTGCACTACCCTCGGTGCATTTCCAACACGGTAGTGGTGCCCAAGAAGAATGGAAAGTGGCGAGTTTGTGTCGACTATAAGACAGTCAACCGAGCTTGTCCCAAAGATAGCTTCCCTTTGCCACGAATTGACCAGCTTGTGGACTTGATGGTTGGACACAACAGGCTCAGTTTCTTGGATGCCTACCGCGGCTACCATCAGATCGCCATGCATGGGCCTGACCGAGAGATCACCTCTTTCACGACTCCAAGGGGACTCTTCTACTACCGAGTGATGCCTTTTGGTTTGAAGAACGCCGGGGCAACCTTTCAGAGGATGGTGACCAAAATGTTTGCTCCTTTGCTTGGCCAGACAATGGAGGCTTACATCGATGATATAGTGGTGAAGAGCCGACATGAGGCAAACCATTTGTCCG